TCGACCAAAGTAACTTCGGACTCAGTCTTATAAAACTGAGTGTGGAACAATTGCTCCAATTGTTGCCATGTTTGAAAAGAGTTCGCTGGCAAATTGATGAACTACAAGAAAGCTATTCCTGTTAATGAATTAGGGAACAGCCTCATTTTATGGTAATTAGTTACGTCACTACTTTGCAGTGTGAATCGTCCTATGTGTTCTAGAGTAGACACCTCTCCTAAACTGGTAAATAATGAGAATTCTGGCACTTTATACCCTTTAGGCCATGGATATGCTTGGTCTACCTAATCAGGGTATGACTTTGTGTAAGTCGGCCGAATGACAGGAAATACTCCAAAAGCCATCTGATCCTGTACTATTTCCATAATTTGATTCCTCAACATGACGTTGGGATCATATGGAATTCCTACAGGTTGGTTGACCGGTTGATTTCCTTGAGGCCTGATATTTTGGTCCTTGATTGGCAACAAAGTTGCCATGATTTGGGCCATTGTTACCATTAGCCTGAATATTCACTCCATCATTAATCCGTGGGGCATTATGTCCATTATTTAGGATATTGTCTCTTACGTTTAAGTTACCCCCAAGTTAGATGTACCATTGCCACCATTCTGATTTGGCATTACACCATCCCCCTGGTTTGAAGTAGAGGGACCAAAAGGTGATTCTATTTCTTGATTTGGACTTAGGATTGGGGAATTATGTCCCACAATTGTCCTAATTTAGAAGTGATTTGCAAGAGGCACAACTGAACTCCTTGAATCGTGGAATATGATAAGGTTACTCGATAACTGCTTCAATAACTACACTTCTGGATAACCATAACATCTTATGTTTACTAAGATCCTGGGCGATTCGAAGGTTTGGACGAGAGCAGGGTCATAACTCTGGACGACTGTAAGGCATTTCATTTGCTCAGATCTTGGGCGTGTTACAAGTTTGGGCGATGGTGTTACTGTGTTCGTAGGCTTCCACTATATTCATTAATAACCATATCTGGGCCTTTATCCTGAATTGCCCAATTGGACTTCATTGTTTGGGCTATTTGATTTGGGGATTCCTCAATTGGACTTCATTTCCTGGGTTATTCGATTTGGGCTGCACTTTTAGTATGTCAACACATTCAATTAGAATGTGAGCATGAATATATGTTTGCACGATGTTAAAGAGCATTATTTTGTGTATAAGTTCAATTTCTTTCATTAAAAAATAGGCTAAGTAAATAAACAAATATGCAGGGCAATTAGTGTAAAATGTTATCATCTTTGCATTCATTGCGCAAATCATTCATATTGTTTCAAACATTGGCATTTGTACCCTTATTTCATCATTTTTTGTTTGTAGAGTTAATTATTTTTGTTTAATTCCTTCTAATTTTTTTTTTTGTCAAATATGAGTAATTGACGTAAAATATTCATATCATTTTTCTTTCATTGTACAAATCATCTTTATCGTTTCAGTTTTAGCACTAAGGTCATCAAATAGACCTTTCTTTGGACACGTCTAAAGAAAGAAGAATTTATATTGTGTGTGTTTGAGCCACATTATTTTTAAATAATACATTTCGGAATGGTAGATTGATGAAAAATGCGTGATTAAAAAATAAGAATTTTTTTTGGATTTACAAGTAATATTATTTTATTGAAAAATATGTGATTGAAATGATATCGAATTACTGTTTAAAAATGTATTTTTTTCCAAATAATCCAACTCAACCAAGCCCATTATTTACATTCTAGAATTAAATTTGAAATTTATATTACGCCCTTGTTTGAGCCGCATTCTTGACAAAAGTTATATTTTTGTATAGTGTATTGATGGAAAATATATAATTACAAATAAAGAATATTTTTGAATTTGCACGTAATATTATTTTAATGAATAATGTGTGGTTGAAATAGAGTCAAATCGCGGTTGAAGAATGTATTTCGATGGAAATAATGGGACTCAAACAAGGGCTACATATCAGGATGGCAATCGGGGTTCGTCGACTAGGGCTGCCCGTGGCCGGCTCGGAAAAAGCTCAAGCTCGTTTGACTCAAGGGTTGGGCCAAGCCCCATTTTAAGGTGTCGGGCAAAACCTGAGTCCGTTCATATATATATATATATTTTTTTTTTTTTTATTATTATTATTTTTTTTTTGGAAGACTGCAACATGCTGCCTTTGCCTATTTTAGGCAGCAGGTTGCTACCTTGCAATCTGCTACTTTTTTTATTAAAAAAATATATATCAAAACGACAACCAAAATTGAGCCTGCCTGGCTCGATCCGGCTCGAAAAGGTCTAAGTTGAAAGCTCAGGTCGAGCCTAATTTTTTTGATTGAGCTTTTGTTTGGTCTGGCTCTGGTCTGAAAAAAAAGCTCGATCATTTTATTCGAACCGAGCTCAAACCTTGAATTTCAACTCGTGAGTCAATTCGGTTCGATTCGTTGATATCCCTAAGCCTACATCTGACAATCAAAATTCAAGACCAAAACTAAATATCCAAAGTAAAACTAAAAAAGAAATAAACCAAATTAAATTAAAAAGTTTAAAAGTTTATTCGATCGCAACACATTACTTCTCATATCTTATTTTATTTATTTCATCACCTTATCTGGGAATCTAAAAAATTTTAAGTTGAGAAAAATTTGTCCAGTGTGATTTATAAGATGAAACAACAGTCAACCTACTTACAACGAGGCGGATCAGATCAATTTTGGTCATAAAAATTTACGAGATACAAAAAGTTGTTTAATAATTTGAAGAAAATAATTTACCAATCGACCAAATAATTTAAATTATGTCCAACTAATTAGCAAAGTTCCTTGACCAATTGTCCTGTTAATGAATGATGTTGTCCTTGTTTCAATTATGAAAAGACGGCCAAATTATTAGACAGCTATTCTGTAAACAATCACTCTTATTGGGTAATTAGAGCAAATTGTATTCCTAGTTTGCATTTATTGTGCAATTTGTCCCTATTGTTTCAAACTTGGAATTTGCAACATTATTTCAACCTTTTTTTGCAGAGTTGGTAATTTCCATTTCATTCTGACAATTTCTTTCGTCAAATATGGGTAATTGATGCAAATGTCTATATCAGTTGCCTTCATTGTGCAAATCATTCCTACTATTTCAATTTTGACATTTGAGTCCTTAGATCGATCTTTATTTTTGCAAAGGGTTCTTATCATCTATTTTCTTCATTAAAGAATTATAAAATGACTAATTTACATTCCTTTTTAAATAAACAAATAAAAAAGAAATAATAAACGGAGAGAAATAATTGCCGCTAGAGTTCCAAGTTTTTTAAAAAAGTAAAAATGAGTCTCTTGTAAAATAAATTAAAATATACTATTAAAAGAACAATATTTTATCCTCCCAATTAATCCCACCTACCCCTCCCCCCACCACTAAAATAATTAAGAAAGATAGTTAAAAGTATGGAAAAAAAAGTATTAAAAAATAGGAAAATAGAAAAACAAATAAAAAATGGTTCTCATTCCACGTCCAACTTCACACCTTGTCACTAGTCGCCACCCGTTCTTTACATCCTACCGCGGGCCACGGCATCATAGAGGGATTTAGCTATTTTCCTGTAATCAAGTTTCATGTTCCAATATTATTTTATTTTTCATCGAAGTTACAATAGGTTTTTTGAGGGATTTAGATAATTTTCAGCAAATTCTTGTTTTATCTTCTTGTTGCCGATTACATACACATAGGCCCACTGCATCAGCTATTGAATTTTTCCTGATTTTGTTTAAGCTTCTTTTGCTTCATAAAATGATGACAGGAAATTGAATTTCTTCCTCCATTAGAGGTTCATTCAATATCTTAATCCCAACCCAAATCATAATTATTCTAATACAAACCCAATTAAGAGGAAAAAAGTATTATTATTATTTTAATTTTTATTTTTATTTTTTTGAAGATGAATGTTTTTGTTAATATGTATTGATTATTTTAAGTGGGACTCATTTGTACTATTTGAAAAAATTAAGGACCTTGACTGCAATTATTATTTCATTCTTTAATATATGTTTACTTAAAGATGAGGATAAATTAGTTATTTTACAATGCTTTAATGGGTAAAATAGGCAATAAAGCTCTTTTGACGAAGAGAAAGGTCAATCTGACAATGCGAACGGTAAAATTGAGATTATAAAGGATGGTTTGCGTAATGAAGGCAATAAGGACATTTTGCACCAATTTTTTATATTTGACGAAATGATACGTAAGTGACCAACTCTTCAAGAGAATGTTGAAATATGGGTACAAATGCCAAGTTTGAAATAATAAGAATGATTTGCACAATGAGTGTAAATGATGACGACGTTTTGTACTAATTGCCTCTCAGATTGACAGCATGCTTCACTTTTGCCAAAATTAATTCAATAGAAAATATCACAATTCATCCAACTTAATACAAAATACGTTAAGTTGAACATCTCAACATAAAAATAAAAAAATAAGTAAAATTTTATATGAAAAGAATTCACGGTTAGTTCCATATTTATTATTTTAACAGCAAGTTGGTCTCTTGTCTTTTAAATAAGAACAAATTAGTAAGTTGATTCTTAATCATTGCAAACGTAATTTAATATTCAAAAGTTCATTATAATTACACAAATTTACAACAATGGAAATCATTGAAAATATCTGTTGAATCGTCACATTTCGTTAATGAAAACATGTCTAAATTTTTATACATCATTCCAAACTGAAAATATAAAATTAGACTCATGAGTGTCACAAGTATGACCTGTAACGTAAATTTGCATGGTTCAATTACCGTGAACTCTTCATCATGCAACTATAACAAAACATGAATGACAAACTTGTTCTTATTTAAAGTCTAAGGACTAACACGGTGACATGTTAATAGTTTGGAACTAATGGTGCATATTTTGAGTTAGTTTAAAAAATATATAAAATTAAAATTTTACTGAAAATTAACTGGGTCCACGTAAGCGTGGGCGAAGGTAGGGCCCACACTTACAAAACCAGCTGTTACTCTTTCTCCTCATGTTCTCCATCGTTGAATTGTTCTTGCAGATCTGGTTTTGCACTCTCTTTCTCTCTCTACATTTCTATTTCTCTTACACACAGTTGCACGCACTTCAAAATATGCTCACCAAGAAAAGATAGAGGGCGCCAACTTCTTATCTTGTTTTGTTTTGCCTCTGTATATAACGGACAGAGCTGCGAGGAGAAAATAATCCGTATTAAAGCTTCCGGGAGATCCCATAAATTCCATTTTCAGGTAATTTGTAAATATCTATTGTAAATATTTCGTATTTCTTCGTTTTCCTTTAAGTTTGAATGTAATTTGTTGGAAATTTATCTCTTTGACTTGTCACCCTTTGCGCATCTAATGTATGTAGCTGCTAAGTGAAGTATCCTTCTAATTACGGAGAAATGTAGGTGAAATGAAATGGAGTAGACCAAAATATAATTTTGACGGTGGGATCATGATCAAAACTTAAAAGTGGTAGTTCGAAGATCTTGGTAGCGTTCAGATTTGACCCTTGTTTGGAGATATGGATTGGGAATTTAATTACAATTTATTGTGAATTCTGGTTATTTTAATTAGGTTTTGACTTATTTATACATCTGCTTATGGTAAATATACTGTTTTTTCTTCAGATAGGACAAATTGAGGAATGATAAAGAAATGGGGAGGAAAGGAAGCTGGTTTTCTTCGGTAAAAAGGGCTCTTACCCCAAATTCTAAGAAAAAGAAAGCACAGGTTTGTTTGAATTACCACTTTGTTCATCTCGCTATAACTTAAGGCCATGTTTGATGTAGTATTGGATTGGACTATATCAAACATGCCATAATTGTTTGATGATATAGGTTTTTTGGGTTTGATATTATGGTATATAATTTCAGAAAGCAAGTAAATCAAAGAAGAAATGGGTCGAGGAAGACAACCCATCAGTTTCAGGTTCTCCAAATCCTGAGACTATCCAAGTATCTAATCCCCAGCCACTTCCTTCTTTGGAAGATGAGGAAGATATGAAGTTGACGAAAGCGGAGAATGCGCAGACAAAACGTGCTTATTCTGTTGCAGTTGCTACTGCTGCAGCAGCAGAGGCTGCTGTAGCTGCTGCACAGGCTGCAGCAGAGGTAGTCCGACTGACTTCGGTGACTCAATTCACTGGAAAACCAAAGGAGGAAGTAGCAGCAATCAAAATCCAGACAGCATTCCGAGGTTACCAGGTATGTTACTAAATGAATGTTTATATTTCTTCTTCCATCAGTCAACTTGACAGGACAGACGTTAACATTTAACAGGATGGAAAAAAGATAATCCAGTAAATGGAAGGAAAAACCCATGCATTGTACTTACCTAAAGAGATTCTCATTTACAAGAGAAATCAATTCAGTTGTGTGTTAATAAGTGGGCGAGGTAGTCCAAATTCACAAAGCTGAGAATGGTTGCAAAAGAGTTGCAAAAGATTTGACAGCATTGGGGCATTTCAGTGAATGAAGTGCTGTGATTGAACAGAGTGGCAAAAAATGATAGATGAAGCCTATTTCAAAAGTTTATTGGCAATATTGTTCAGCTTTTTGTTGTTACTATACCATTCTCAGATGCATAGTATTGCATGTTAAGTCATGCACAATTTTCTGGTTAAGCAAATATTATAAAATAATATTGCTGAACAATTACAGATTGTAATGAATTGCCCAAAATATGTCATTGAATTTGACTGGATGAGTATATTTAATTAGGAAGAGCCAAAAGAAAATTTTGGGTCAAAAGTAAGAATGAAATCAAAGCTCAAATAAAAAGCTCTTCTAATGGATGAAATTGGCTAAAAAATATCATGTTGTCACCATCAAGAGTTTAGTCCAAGTATTTGTTGAGGTCCACCTACGCATTATTATTCGTATCAGTTTTCAAAAAATTAGGCAATATGGCTATGATGCAAGAGGCACAGCCACAAAAATTAAGATGTGCCAAACAACATCACGTTTATTAATATGAAGAGTTTTGGCTAAGTATCAATTAAAGCTTAGGTGTACATTATTTTTTGTTTTTCTTGTCACAAAATTCAGCATCAAGGCTACGACACATTGAGACATTTTTCTGGAAATCATGTAAAGTTTTTTTATTTCAGACATTTCTGACATGTCAATATATCTCGCTTGAAGTCATTAATTATTTTAGTAAAAAAAAAGTGTTGGTTGCTTTCGGTCTGATTAGCATCAGATGACTTCTACATTTTGCATTTTGTTTTTCTTATCCATTATTAATTACAAGTCACAATATGGAGAGAAATGAAGTATAGGTTAGCCACTGATGTCTCTTAACTTTCAGGCAAGGAGAGCATTGCGGGCGCTGAGAGGACTTGTCAGAATAAAATCACTTGTTGATGGGCCAAGCGTCAAACGGCAAACTGCAAACGCTCTGAAATGTATGCAAACGCTGTCCCGTGTGCATTCTCAGATTCAGTCGAGAAGGCTCAAGATGTCAGAGGAAAACCGTGCACTCCAGAGACAACTTCTACAGAACCGCGCGAAAGAACTTGAAAGCTTGATGGTTGGTTCTTTTCTTAATATCATCATCTTTAGCGAAATCCATAAAACAATTATTAGCATTTTTGGCTAACTTAAAAAGTTTACTTAGAAGTACATATTGAAAGTCAAAAGTAAGTTATTTATTTTGAATGCGAAGTAAGAATTACTTTTCAAAAAATGTTACTTTTTTAAAATAAGAAAAATTAAGTTATCGAAACATGTAAAAGTTATTTTAACCTTACATTTTTAAGCTTAGCCAAACTTGCTCTAAACATCTTCTGAGGGGCATCAATGCTGTAAGTATGGCTTCAATGCATCTGTAATACAAGAATTAATTTAATTCTACTTCATCAGTCTAGGCGTATTTTTCTCAAATAAATTTTATGGAGGACAAAAAAAAAATTGAAAAAAAACGAAAAAAAAAAAAAAAAAAAAAAAACCTTGCTGCAGGTTGATGTCGTTTGTTTGGTTTAAATTTATATTTGATCAGTCTCTGTATTTTGTTGAGTAAGGCTTAGTTTCTTCTTGTTTTATGTTTAGTCTCGTATATATTTTTGAATCCCTGCGGCAAAAAATGAAAAAATAAAATAAAATTCAGAAGCTTAGAAGCTGACTGTTCCTTACTGGGTATTTCTTGGTGTATGTTTTACATAGTGCAAATGAAATCTTGCTGAAGGTTTACTCCAGACAAATAGTGGAAAAATTATGACTAAAAGCTTAGGGAGAGAATATCTTGTTTATAGTTTGATATTAAATATTGCAACTTCAGAAAACAAGCATATTCCCTGATGATTAAATTTATTTAACCATTCTTGAATTTTGTTGAAGTTCTTAGATATAATATTCAAATGTTTCTGCAGATTGGGGAGGAGTGGGATGATAGTCTACAATCAAAAGAGCAAATAGAGGCAAGTTTGCTGCAAAAGTATGAGGCATCCATGAGACGAGAAAAAGCGCTAGCTTATTCGTACAGTCATCAGGTACTTCTACTTAACTTGCTTCACATGTTTTCAGCCTTCCGAAGAAAAGAAGGAAAATGTATATCTGAGGGCACATGTGAATTCACTGCCCTTGTAAAATCTAGAAGAAACTATTTCTCGTGTTAACTTTGTACATTCTTTATTCGGATTGTTAAATTGCCTTTTCTCTTGCTGCACTGTTTCCTTGGCCTTGGCATCTACTATCATCCCAATCTGGATCTTATTCTTTCTTATAATTTGCCTATTTATGGATGTTCTACAATATTCAGCTAGTGATAAGTAATATATTTGATTCTCATATTAGATCTCCTATTTTTCTTGGTAAAGTATTGTCTTATTGTCTAGAAGAATAAGTATATAATGAACATTTCACTTTTACTTGACTAAATGCAAGTTGCAACTGCCATAATTTTGAGTCATGTACTTGGCTTGATCAGTGGTATCAGTATTGGCCCAAATGTTTTGTAAAATAAATGTTTGGTAGCATTAGAAAATTTGGTTTCTGGTTTTAATTGTGACCTTTTCAACTTGACAGCAAACCTGGAAGAAGTCCTCAAGAGCTCCTAACTTACTGTTTATGGATCCAACTAACCCTCACTGGGGTTGGAGCTGGTTAGAAAGATGGATGGCTGCCCGGCCATGGGATTCCAAAAGCACAGCTGACAAAGAACTTAACGGTGACAGGTTATCTGTCAAAAGTTCAAGCATTGGAGGAGAAATAACCAAGTCTTTTGCTCGTCATCAGCTAAACTCCGATAATCCATTTTCACCGGTCAGCCAAAAGCCCGGTCATCCTTCTAGTCATCAGTCCTCTGCATCTCCCCTTTCAAAGGTGACATCTTCAGTAGCCGCCAGAAAATTGAAGCTGGCAAGCCCAAGATTGAGTGCATTAAGTCAAGATGACGACTCCAGGAGAATGCTTAGCATGCAGTCAGAGAGGAACAGGAGGCACAGCATTGCAGGGTCGTCCATGAGAGATGATGAAAGCTTGGCAAGCTCTCCATCAGTGCCTAGTTACATGGTACCGACTAAGTCGGCAAAGGCCAAGTTGAGGTTGTCAAGTCCATTAGGAACGGAAAATGGAACACCGGAAAAGGGACCACCGGGTTCCGCAAAGAAGCGCCTTTCTTTCCCACCTTCTCCAGCCAGACCTAGGCGGTATTCAGCCCCGCCAAAGGTGGACAACTCCTCCATTGCTGACAGTGATGCGAATGGAGTGATCAATTAATTATCCCCTTATTCCTAAATTCAGCAGATTCAATAAACTGTCTGAATTAAGTGGCAGAGAAGAATAAAGGAAAATAGTGAAAGTGTCAGTTTAATTTGATGGAGTTCCACTTAAATTTATTTGTTCATTTGCTTTGTGGGCATGGTTTGGATTGATTTCAACGATTCTATTGACTGAGTTAAAGTTGTTGCTTATTCTTTTCTCTCAACTATTGTTAAGAGTTTCATACCGTGAATGATTATTGGTGATTGTGTCTGTAACATATTGTCTTCTTTGGTCATGGAAATTCGATTTTCTTTTATAGAGTTGATCCCTTGTTCTCAACATTCTGGTTATTATAGTTTTGGTTAGGTAACTGTTTGATTGATGTTCGTGAACTATGGCCATCCTAACTATCACAATTAAGGCATGTTTCCCCATTTTTTTCTAAACTCATTTTCAATCACACATTTTATCAATTTAATTTTTTATTTTATTATTATTATTATTTTTTTTATTTTTATTTTTTTTTTACACTAAAAAAATTGATTCTTATCAAAACCAAACAGGGGGCTAACAGTAATTTACAGTGTACCTACGGCCAATAAGATTGAGCATCCAAATATGCAGAATAGAATTGTAAAATTGATTACAATGATATTGGGAAAACTGTTTTGTGTCCACAGTTTGAGAGAGGATAAAGAAAAGCTACATTTGTAGAGAGCTGTTGTCATAAAATTAGAGAAAATTACGTAGTTAAACGTTTTCTGTTTATTCAACATATTTAGAGTAGATTGATATCTTTTTCCTCCCTTTCACAAAAGAAGATCAAAACAAATCTCTTCAAATGCCCGTTTAATAAAGATTTTTGAGGCGTGATCGTTTGAAAAGTGTTTTTTTTTTTTTTTTAATGAGTGTGGTTAAAAAGTAGAGAAAAGTCATTGGAAAATACAAAAAATATATATATTTTTTTTTGAAAAATATGTGATTAAAAATTATTATGGAAGAGAAATAATTGTCAAAAAAAAATAAAAAATTATCATAATGAAACCAGGCTAAATATCTGTAAAACAATAATCCTTTTATAGGCAGCATTAAATCACAAACTTACATAATCTTGATGGGGTGTTCTTAAACTTTAGAAGTGGATTTTTAATTTTAATAAATTTAGAATATGTTACATAATTTTTATCATTAACTTTACATTGCTTGCAAAATCTACTAGGATATAAGGGTCCGTTTGACAGATTTTTACATTTGCTTTTACTTTTTATGAAAGAGCTTCTTTTAATTAGTATATAAAAACCAATTTCTGAACTAGTTTTTTCTTCCAAAAGAGCTTTAGAGAAAATCAAGTTAGATCAACTTTTTTTTAAAAACTCTCGTAATTAAACAAACGGATTTAAAGCAACTTTTAAGTCTCAGGAGCTTTTTTTTTTTTTTTCTCATATTTTAGAGGTCATGTCAAACAAGTCCTAAAACAACTATGACATAGCGACGCATCACGATAATTAAGACTTTATCTTTTATAATTTGCTCTATCAAAATCAAGTCATTATAATGAGCACAAGCTGGTGCGGATTTAGGAAGCCAAAATAAAGGTAAAAAAATTACAAAAGTTTCAAGATACACTTTTAAAAATAAGAAACTTGAGAAAAAGTTTCAGACGTTAGGTGATCACAATAAAATTTTGTGGCTTATTAATTAATTAAACATGACAATATCATAATAACATACTGTTAATGATCACAATCAAACAAGGGCTAATATGAAATGTAACATTTCTTTCAATTTTTAAGCCCAATATCCATAACCCATTACTTACCTTTGGTCATTCTAGCACTTATATATTTTTTTAGTCAAATTAATTTAACCAACCTTCTATTAATTTATTACAACTTTGTCTTTGATGACGGATTTTGTAAAAATTGTTAGGAGACCGTAAAAAGAGTTGTTTGCATCTCGTATTTTAAATAACGAAATAAACAATAAATAAATAAATTCATTAAAATATTTTCTCTCATTTCAATGCATGTTAATGAAATATTTGGACATGATTCATCACCAGTAGATGTTGACATTTTCACTGAAATCGAATCTCTCTAACCATAATCAAAGGTTCCAGTTCGATTCCCAAAAAATAAGTTTGAGATCAAAACAAAGAATCGAGAATATCTAGGTTTGTTTTAAACAGGAACCATGAGTACTCAACTCTAGAACTAAATTTATTGATTTTATAAATTTTTTTATTTTTTACAATTTATTCACCCTTGGCACAATGATTCAACCCAATAAATAGCAAGTTTGTAAGGGCTAAGTAGTAAGTATTATAATTAATTAGATTAATTCATTTGAATTATCGAATCATATCACATTCATTGCCACTCATAATCGCACTTTATGCGTCGTCCACCCTACAAATCCTTCTTGAGGTACCGCACATAGAGTAACTGTCGGAATTGGATGCTATTATAGTAAATGTTGGATACTATTGGATGATATATTCGTGGCTAATTAAGAAAGTGTGTGATATATATATTTTATAACATATATTAGATCTTCTATTTCTCCTATATATTGGGAATATTATTTGTATTGTTAGTTCAAGATTTCTTAACAAAAATGTCATGGATAAACGAACCGAAACTGTAACATATTATTTGAGTTTTGATTTAGTTCTAGTAATTTCATGAAAGCGAATGATTTCACGTATGAAACATTTGAAATGTAACAAATGATCCTTAGTATTGAAATATTTGGATGGACTCACCTGATGTCAAGCCTAGTCATGATAGAAAAAGAGGTAATTAGGTTTACTACCCTTCAAAGATAACGAATTAGAATCCTCTCCCAAAAACTAATTAAAATTCTTTCCTCGTAATTAATACGCTCAAACACCCCAAACCCCAAAACCTTGGAAAGCCCCAAATCGTACCCAAAAATCCGGCCGAAAATCCCACCGTAAGATCTCCGTTTTGCTTATATGTCGCATTCTCCTCTCCCTTACTATCTCGTTTTGTCTATGTTTGTTTTCTTGATTTTGGGCCAATTACTGCTGATTTATTGGAGACAAGGAGAGTAGGAAGATTGAAAATGAGAATTAGAGATTAATTGTCCCGTGATTCTTGATTTCATGTGATTTTGCGCTGAAAATTGATTATAGATTTTGGTGTTATCTGGTTTCTTTTTTTTTTCTTTTTGGAGGGTTTGATATTACCGAATTTCTGTGGTTAGAAAAATAGAATGATGATTTTCGTATTACGTGATAATTGGGAGAAAAAACCGTGTACAGACATAATGAGTTTAGATTATACCCATGTTTAATATCATTTGTTCCATTTGATTTATGTGCTTATGCTGAATATTTCTGTTTAATTCGTATGTTCTGTACAGATTAACATTTGATTTGTGACTTTAGAAGAATTTTGGATGAATTGTGAAATCTTTTGGAAAGATATGTTATTGGTGTTTTGGATTATTGAATTGCTAATGAGTATCATTGAATGATCTTGACAAGTTGGCATTTAGCAACTCTAGTGTGAAATTTTGAAATCCAATTATGCATTTGAACTGAAGAAATTGGCATTTCGTCCATTTTAGTATGCTAAGATGATGTGAGAGTTAAATGAGTGGATATGAACTTTGGGCACTGAGTAAGAACTTGTGTTATGAACCAAAAACTTGAGAAGAGAACTTGTGTCCTAAACCAAAAACTTGAGATGAGATAACATATTCGAGTGTTTCTTGTCTGATGCTTCTGTGGCACTACCTTGTTCTGGCTTAAGGAGTATTATGTTTGTAATGATTGTGTTTGCATTGAATCAATTTCATGTAGGTAGTTGTTGGGCATTTTTAATTGTAGTTTGGATTGAATTTGTATAAAATGATATATTTTAAGGTTTTGATCGATGTTTCATCACTTTTTTTAATTTACGTCACTATTTTGACTATTTGTCACTTTTTTATTTTTTATTTTTTCAATCTGTGTAGCTTTTTAAATTTTCATCACTTTTTTAACTTTTTGTCGCTTTCTTTTTTTTTTTTGTATTTGGCACTTTTTTTGATTTTTTGTCACTTTTTTTTGTGTTTGTCACTTTTTTATCAATCGCGTTCTTGAAATTTCTATCACTTTTTTTAGTGACAAACATCATTTTTTAATAAAAGTGACATTGTATGTCATTTTTTAATAAAAGTGACATTGTATGTCATTTTTTAATAAAAGTGACATTGTATGTCATTTTTTAATAAAAGGGTGACACTAAACTTTCAAATGACGTTGTCACTTTTTACATTTTGTCAATTTTTTTGAGTTTTCATCACCTTTTAAATTTGTCACTTATTTAATAAGATAAAAAGTGACATGATATGTTACATTTTCCGAACATAATCAGCATGTGGATTGTCTTAGACATGTTGCTTATGTTAAGAACTGCCACTACGCTCATGTGGATTGTCCTGGATATGCAGATTATGTTAAAAGTATGATTACTGGTGCTGCACAAATGAATGTGCTATTTTGTGTCTCTCATTTTTTTATTTTTTTTTAGTTTGTGTCACTTTTTTTTTGTCACTTTTTAAGCGTTTGTGTCACTTTTTTTACTTTTTAAAAAAAAAAGTGACATTGTGTTACTTTTTCGTTTTACACAGTATTTTTTACTATCAAAAAACTTTTCATATGATTTTTCAAAATACTTCTAATTTTAAGGATATTTTTGTAAGTTGCCCATAGAAAAATACGACGGAAAAAGTTGAGGATATTGTTAAAATAATAATTACTATTGAGGGTGTTTATTGCAATTAAAATGTACTAACTTTTGATAATAATTGACCATTATCCAATTACAATTTAACCCCAAATATCCAACCCTTGACCTACTCGCCTTCGGTGACCATACTTGGACTACTATTCGACCATTCCGTTCGGGATTCGACCGCCGGCGATCATTCGTGACGCGGCCATCAACCGGCTTTACCATCTGGTGCGATTTGATTTTTTCAAAGTAATACCTTCTCAGAGAAAATAATGAGTTGAGGCAAAAAATAATTCTATTATATAATCTCACTGTAAAATTTGCAATCTGTTCGTGGTGGATAATTTCAAAAGATTTCATGTATTTTGCCTTCAGTTTGTTAGGTTTTAATTTTTCTCTTGATTCATCATTTGCCTATGATTTCCTTCTTGAACTGGATACTAAGATTTTGAGGTTTTATATTTGAAGGGAAGTCTGAAATTCACTTAAGAATTGCAGAATTGGAGGAATTTCACTAGACCAGCACCTTAAAGCTAATTGCTTATATTTTTTTTGTAACTTTCTGTGCTGATTTATAACATTTGTAATGCATCTTATAAATTATCAATTTGGCAAATATTAGTATTATTCTAGTCATTTACGGGTAGTGTGGATGTAAGAAGGAAAGATGATTTTGACATAACCAGCAACAATGTGTAAAAAATAAAATAAAATCGAGTCATATATTCAAAACTTAAATGCTATCCAATTTCCAATCCCTGTACTCTTTCTCCACATGCATAAGTTAAATAAGTCCGACAGTATTCTACTGTGTTTTATATATATTCTGATGTGCTTCTTTGTTTTTTCTAGCACAGCACTACTTATTCTACGATATTGACACTGGATAGCGAGTAGAGAAATCATGGATGACCAGAGAAAACGAACACTGGAAGCCTTAGAGCGAAGGTTTGCACAAGCAGAGGCAGAGCTTCACAAAATGCAACATAAGAGCAAGAAAAGGCAAATTGAAGATACAGGGAAGACCAGTTCTAATATTGAATCTTTATCTGCAGATATGGAAGCCAAAAAACCCTGTTCTAGTGCCTCGTCCAGAAAAGGTTTGCTTAACTGTGTTCAAAATCATAAATAATGCTGTTCAAATTTTTTGTTTTAGACGTGTTGTAATTTTCGTGTGCATTATTGTGTTAACTCTGGAGATGATAAATAGTGAAAATTGAAAACCAAGCCTACAATGATAAAAAGTGATGACGTCCTATTAAAGTGTACGCACTTCCCAAAAATGCATTTTTCTTTCCAGTCAAATGAAGTACTTTAAAATGATTAAGATGTGTAACGTGAATCATTGAACACACCATATTCGTAGATTCTACAAGCTTGGGCTAAATTCTGAACAAGATGAAATTTGAAAGTTTAAAACATTCATCTTTAGAATAAAACTGATACCAGCTCCTGTTGGGTGTTACCGTGTTGATTATCATAAATTTGAAACCAATTAGAAATCTCAAAAGTTCCTCCAAGTTTGAGTCACACGTCACTAACATTCCCAGCTACACTTTAAGTGCTTGTTTGAGCCCCATTTTTGGGTTTAACAGGTAATGAAATAATTATTTTTTCGAAGAATTTATGGTTGAAAAGTAAGGAAAAATTTTTGATTTACGTATAAAATTATTTTATTAGTAGAATGTGATTGAAAGAGAGAAGTGTGATTGAAAATGAGTTTGAGAAAAAATGAGTTTTTGAATAATAGGGATCAAACACAGGCTAAGTAAGTTTATGATATGGAATTGAATCAGCATGAAGAGATCTCAAAGTAGTGTACAAAAAATTTTCTTTGCGTAAGATATTACATTTTGTTCAAGAAGAAATGAATACCCACTGTTTATAAAATATTGAATGAACTAAAAAAGTTAAGATCTTCCAAATTCTATGAGATCAATTCACTATGTTATCACCATGTGGTGTGTGGGAGGGACAATTTTGAACTCCTAGAAAGGAGAAAAAAAGTGGAACTTTCATGGTGCACTATATGTTCGTATGAAACCCGCAAGTGTATAGGCTCTTTAACAAGTAATAAATTTAGTGAGTTAAAAGTATCAAGGAATAATTTTCAATTCAAGTTTACTAGTTATGTATGAAATTCGAATTATGTAAAACAAGAGAGATTTTGATTTTATTCTTGCTAAATTAATCTAAAAAAGTAATAAAAGTTTGATTTTTATCAAATTATAGATGACTGTATTGGATTTCGACTCCGTTTATTGTTATCCCTTTCAATTTTTTAGTTGTAATCTAGTTCCGTTCATGTATTCTTGACAATCGACAAAGCTAATATATTTAACTTTCTTTTTCAAGATGAATTAATTCTAGACTAACCATGACCTGAATCTATTCTTAGCCCAAATTTGAATGGTTAGAGCGCATTAAATTTTAGATTATCTATATGATTGCACAAGTAATAAATGTTATTCTTAACATCTATTGCACATATGTTAATTTTGCCACGTTCTAAACTTGTTGTGTGTCTTTCAACACTATAACAAGCAACTAATTATCTAATTGGTGGTCAATCAATTAAATAATACAGTGGGTATGCAAAATTAATCAAGAAACACAAGAATTAAAGTAAATTACTAGTCTTGAATTAGAATAAATAAATAATAGGGTTCATCTCATCCAATACAAAAAATGGATCTAGCCTAGCATGCTTTTAAATAAATTACAAGAAGAATAATGAAAAAATATCATCCTGGTCATGAAAGAATACAACATATGTTGATTTTCAAGTTCAAAGTTGAATTCTTTAATTTGTTGATGTAATTGACCTTTAATTCTTGCTAGGGTTGATCTTTTCTCCCAAAAATAATGATTTGACCTCTAGTTTTTGATGAATTTGATGATATTATTGTGCATGAAGAGGCAAGAGAGTTTTTTTATGTGTAGCCCTTGTTTTGTATTTATAAGAGTCGAGAAGTAGGTTAAAATCGCATCCAATTTGGGTTCCGTAAGAGTTAGAATCGCGAAAAGGAAATTGCAGATTCATCTACGAAAATGGCTCTCAACACAGTCATAACTATCGCGCGCACACCATTGATCCAAATGACTCTCGGGTCATTGAAATTTCAGTCTTGCTCGCGGAGTTTGTCTCTCAATAGCTTTCAATAATTTGATCATAACTTTCTCTTTCGATATTCGATTGTGGAATCAAGTGCATTGGAAAGGCGACTCAAAGGACTACAATTCTTCTACAAATACAATTGTTCCAATTCAAACGTTTGCTATCCGAAAATGGGATCTCAATTTGAGGCTAAAAGTCTAAAGCATAACTTTTTCGGCTAGAAATTGATTTGTGAAAATACTTCAACTATATTTCACTCCCTTGACCTCCAGTTGCATCCGGTTGATCATATGTGATCTTCAATCATCATTTTATGGTTCGAATAAACTATTGAATGTTTTTACTTTGGTCCCAAATTTTGAATTTCTTTCCTTTTTTGCCTTTTTTGTTCCTTTCTTCAAATTCCACCAATTTGCATTGAGTTCCATCGAACAAACATAATTAATATATAATTAAGCTATAACTTATCCAAATTACCGACAATTACTCCAATTTAATGGCCTAGATAAGTGTATAAAAATACATTTATCACTATGCCTTCTATGATTCAATGGATTTCAGATTGGAAAAGTCCAGGCTTTAAAATGCCTGTAAATTAGATCAATGGATTTTTTTGAAAGACGTGAACTTCAATTCACAAGTTTTGAGTGATCTCAAATTACTGATCTCTGAAATTTTATGCACACCTGGTGGGCGAATTTGCCAAGTTTTTGCCAAATTTCTAGTCCGACAAGGAAGTGGCAAAGCGATCAAATATGAATGAACCAAATATTAGTTTGTGCAACTGAATGCACATATGTCATAGATTGTGGTCTTTTTGGATGGGCATTTGACCTCACATTTTCATGATGGCCGTTTTAATTTTTGCTTCATTGTGAGCTTAGTATTTTAGAGTACACACCTACTTTTTCTGCAACTATAAGTTAGGACACGCTCTATCTTGCTTGAATGATGCTATTGGGCTTCGAAATTCCTTTTTGGGGGATAATTTCAAGTTAGGGTCACTAATATCTTCTGCACAATTAATTTTTCTTCTTCTTGATTACTTTTCCAGGCAATATTTCTTTCAGGGCTCATAACACTACGCAAGGTACCATTGTTGTCGTTAGATGATTGCTATTTCTGTTTGTGCAAAGATATTTTATCTTTGGGTGTATCTTGAAACATTACCTTAGGGCTAAAATAGTTGGCTACCATAATTTACAGATGTAAAAGTAAATGAGCCAGCATACTTGGAGCTTTCTTATCCTGCACATGAAAATTTGCTGCCAACGGGTGTCAAGGTCACTGTTTCACCTTAACCTATGTAGCCATTTGAGCTGTCTATTTTGTGATTATTTCCCAGAAATTCATTTATAGCTATTTCATCTCAATTTGCTTAACAATGCAGAATTCAGATAGAAAAACTGCAGTTGATCACATTTTGCACCAACTTTTTCAACATGGTGATTCAGCTCGGAAGTACATGCAGGGATCCAAAAGCATGAAAATTGACAATTTCATCCTTCTTGATAATTTTGTTCCTAAAAGTAGCAGTTCTAGATCTCGCATTCAAGCTTTGAAGAGCCACTCAAAGCGATCAAAAAAGCACATGTCCCTGAAGCAACTTAAAAAATGTGGATCCTTTAATTTATCCCATGAGTTCCACAAGTGAGTCCATATGGTCCTTTTTGGCCTTTCAATTGCTTATTTAACTTATTGTCTTCATATTTTTTTCTTGTACAGCAGTGCTCGAATTCTTGTGATAGTATTTCATGTATCCTTTCTATATTATTAGACTATTATATGTGTTGAGAAAAACTCTTCTCCTCATATTATATTATGTTAAATTTGCTTTAAGAATTGATTTCAAATGTCTTTATTATGGTTCTTGCAACTTCCCTCCCTTTAAGAGTCAGCCATTCACATATTATGCTCGTCAAGTAATGAAACTAGGTTCTCAAATGGAGA